GTGTTATATCGAAAGTGTTTAAAAGTACGACAATCTAATCTGTGCTTAAGCCCTGCTCTGCTTCTGCTTTGGCGCTTTAGCTGTATGATAGATTTAAAATACTTCATAAAGCTAGATTACCAAAGCATTGGCTCTGTGGAAACTTCATCCAAACAATGAAATCCGATCTGCGTGTGCATCTAATTATATTTTGCTTGCAGCTTTTGTTTACTTTGGCCATGTTTTCTTTATGAGTTGATCTTTTGTTTGCACATTATTTGATCTTTGGTGATTTTAGCTGTATGGTGTATATCAAAGATCCATAGAGCTTTATCACCAAAACCCAAATGGTTTTTGCATTTTTTCGCTTGAGTTGCTTATGTTTTTAAAATGTTTTTTGTCAACAAAATCTGAAGAAATCAAGATTATGCTTACTAAAAAACTTTTCTTCTCCCACACAAAGATCGCTCTTTTGACTTGGTGGATTCGGCGGCTGCGTTGGAGATCTGCTCGCCCAAGGCCAAGCGACAGCGTTTGCAGTCCAGTGCTCATCTGAGCAATGGTTTGGATGACTCCATATCGCGGAATTACTGCTCCCAGCCGATGCCCACGATGCGTAGTGACGACGACTTTGATGTGAGATTGCGCAGCGGTCGGGCCACTGGGGGTCAGGAGAACCAATCCGTGGCCCAGGAGGCTCGCCTCAGTTACTGTTTCTCGCAGCCGGCCCTGCTGGATGATCTACTGTTGGCCACGCAGATGAACCAGACGCAGAGCGCCTCGCAGAACTACTTCCAGCGCCTGGTGCGACGCATGACGCGATTCTTTGTGACCACACGGTGGGACGATACGATCAAGCGACTGGTGGGAACCATCGAAAGGCTGGGTGGATACACCTGCAAGGCCAGCGAGGAGGGTGTGGTCACAGTGTCCACCATCGATCGGAACAAGCTGCGGCTAGTGTTCAAGGCTCACATCATCGAGATGGACGGCAAGATCCTAGTCGATTTTCGGCTGTCCAAAGGCTGTGGTCTAGAATTCAAGCGGCGCTTCATCAAGATCAAGAACGCGCTGGAGGATATTGTCATGAAGGGGCCCACCACATGGCCCATTGCGATTGCAACCAATTCGGTGCCTTAGTTTTTAATGAAATTTAACCTAAGACTTGACTCTGTTTCATTTGGATACATTATGTTTATGTAACTTGTGTTCACAGCACTCCCATTCATCATCACTATCGATCTTCGAATAGCTTAAATATTTTATTAGCATGTGCTCGTGCATTATCGACGATTACGTTTTGTATTATGTATACTGCCTATTCTTATAGCTCTACTATGATTTTAAATTTGTTGACTTTAAAATGAATACCGCGTATTGAGTGTAGTTGATTAGTAAAATAAACGTTATGAAACAATAAATATTTACTTTTTAAAATAAAAACTTAAGAATAAGAAGTACTACTTCATTTTGTGGAAATTGAAACAGAATTCTAAATTGATTATAAAATGAGTGTTTTATAAGTCCATTGATGTGGGTTTCGATGTAATTCAAGAATATATGTTAAATGGCCCTCGATAGCAACGTCACTTTATACCATGCCCAAACATCCTTAATTGGTTATATTTTTTAAATTTTGCAATTTATTGCTCCCAATATTCTACATTTTACATGAGAGACACGTGTATCTTACATGCAATGCTGCAGTGCACCCACCGTTCGACAGGGGGAGTCTTGGAGCAGCAGACTTCCCACAGATGCCGCCAATACTAAGAATGACATTTTCCACAAGCTTTTTTATTTTTTTATTTCACATGAACTAGCGATATTGAATATATATTATTGATTGAAACTTTTGTGGTGGTTTTTCTTCCAGTTTTGTGTATTGTTTTTTCTCTGTGGGATCGACTATTGGAACACCTGGGCATTCGCTTTATTTGAGTTGAACGATTTTATGCTTAATTCTATGTCTCAACAATAATTTTGTGGGTTCTCTGTAATGGTAGGAGTGGGGATTGAGTGTGTATATAATTTCAAATGAATTACAACGACTACAAATACGGATATCCACGCTGGCCAAGATGTTGCGGGGCGGCTGACAGAATATCTGATACATAGGGATGTTTGTTTGTTGGTTTTATATAAATAATGTTTTAACATTAATAATAATGTCTAGTAACGAAGCATAGAGACAGCAAACGGTTTCTGTTGCCTTTTGTGCGCCAGACACAAAATCCAAAAAGGGTTGACGAACACGTACACCAAATATCAGCACCACCCCAGGATGGGTCTTCTCCTGCAGCTGCTGCTGATCTTCATCCAGTCCATGCGGTCTCGTGCTGGATTAGCGGGTGCTTTCGGTGTGGTTGGAATTTTGAAGTAGCAACGCTTACTGGGGCTTCCTGAAGTTCTTGCCGGCGAACTTGACACCGGAGCCGATCTCCTCCTCAATGCGCAAGATCTGGTTGTACTTGGCCAGACGCTCCGAGCGGCATGGAGCACCGGTCTTGATCTGGCCGGTCGAGAGACCCACAACCAAATCACCGATGAACGAATCCTCGGTCTCGCCGGAACGGTGAGAGACCATGGTGCCCCAGCCGTTCTTCTTGGCCAGCAGATGAGCGGCAATGGACTCGGTGACGGTACCGATCTGGTTTACCTTCAGCAGCAGGCAGTTGCAGGCACCCTTCTCGACAGCGGTGGCAATGCGCTTGGGGTTGGTCACAGTCAGATCGTCGCCGACAATCTGGATCTTGGTGTTGCAGGTCAGGTTGGTCCAGGCATCCCAGTGATCCTGATCGAAGGGATCCTCAATGGATGTAATGGGGAACTCCTTGATGAACTCCTGGTACAGATTGGCCAGCTTGTCGGGTGACAGCCACTGGGCCTTGTCGCTCGCGGGGTTCTTGAAGTCCAGATCGTACAGACCATCCTTGAAGAACTCAGAGGCGGCAACATCCATGCCGATTTCGATCTGGCAAGCGAATAGGAAGTGGAATTATAGAGATTTCATACATAGAGGACTCTTAAGATCTCTCCTTACCTTGCCAGTGTAGCCAGCCTTGGCGATGGCATCGGTGATCAGGACGAGAGCCTCCTTGTTGGACTGAATGTTGGGGGCAAAGCCACCCTCATCACCGACAGCGGTGGCATCCAGACCGAACTTGGCTTTGATCACGTTCTTCAGGTGATGGTACACCTCGGAGCCCATCTTCATGGCCTCGGTGAAGGTGGTGGCGCCGGTGGGCAGGATCATGAACTCCTGCATGGCAAGCTTGTTGCCGGCATGGCTGCCACCGTTGATCACGTTGAAAGCGGGCACGGGCAGGATGATCTCCTTGTTGCCGGCCAGATCGGCGATGTGTTTGTACAGGGGCACGTTCTTCTTGGCGGCACCGGCCTTGGCGACGGCCAGGGAAATGCCCAGAATGGCGTTGGCGCCGAACTTGCTCTTGTTCTCGGTGCCGTCCAGCTTGATCATGAAGTTGTCGACAGCAGCCTGATCAACCACATCCAGATTGGCTTTGATCACCTCGGGTCCGAGGGTATCGTTGACGTGAGCCACAGCCTTCAGCACGGACTTGCCATGGTAGTTGGCCTTGTCGTTGTCGCGCAGCTCCAGGGCCTCATGGACACCGGTGGAGGCGCCAGACGGAACGGCGGCCCGGAACAGACCATTCTCGGTGGTCAGATCAACCTCGACGGTGGGATTGCCACGGGAATCGTAGATTTGACGGGCCTTGATTGCCTTGATGGTCATGTTGGAGCTGCAAATGCAAGGGGAACTATTTGTTATCTCTGTTATCAGCTGTTTTGCATTTTAAATGTGCGCGCTCAGAAAAACAGTGTTGGAAAGCGTTGAATTAAGTGTTTTAAGCACGAAGGTCAAATGAAAGTCATTTTTGGCGTGTCGAAACGCAGGTCAAATCAAGGTCATGTCGCAAACTGACGTGTGTGTATGTAAAATGTAAAGTAAAGTAAATGTGAATGTAAAGTTACACCGCGAATGCGGTGGAAGAAAAAAATGAAAACAAAACAGAAAGATTAGTTATCGATCTCGTTGCACTTTTTTGCTGAACTATCGACTTTTTGCCACTCTAATCTCTAATATAATTATATTATTTTATCGATAAAATAAGGATTTTCGACATCCTTGTTATGTGTTATTTCCAACAACAAAAGTAACTTTCGGTGTGGTCGAGAAAATGACGGTGGAGGGGAGGGGAGGCCGCCTCGCCATTTTGGGGGCGCTCAGAAAAAAGCGAAACTACACGATTTGTGGAAATAATTGCAATAAACATTATTTCTCATTGTTTTAGATGAAATTGAATCATCGAAAAAAGCCAGCGGAGGAGGAGGGGCACTTGAAAAATTTGCACAGACATTTTTGTTAGATAATCGCAGAAACTTTGTGGCAGAGCAGATTTGATTGAAAAATTGATGGAACAATTAAACACACTTGGCAGATCAAATTATTAAATATTATTAGGCACACACACAGATACATACCAAGAACTTTTAAACTTGATAAACTTAAATCCAGATGATAGCGATTCTAGAGTGCGTCCGGCGTTGCTTCTGCTGTTGCTGGCTGCTTTGCTAATGAAAACCGTGGACGAGAAAATGACGGAGGAGGCCGCCTCGCCATTTCTCGCTGCTCGCGCAGTTTGGGGCCAGCAGCGGAGAGCGCCACGGAAAGCTAGCATGCTCGCAAACATGCTGGGTGGGTTTTTTGGGAGAGAATCGCTCTCTTTATGTGTGCGTTTCCAGGTGCTGCGCCGCTTTTGAAAAGGGGGTGGTGGGGGGTGGTTTTCCGTTTTTTTGGGGGAGAATCGACCTTCGCACAAGGTTACACGCCAACTGTGGGGCGGAAAAAAAAGCAAGGAAAATATTAAATTGGGCGGAAAACAGGAAAAGAGAAAAACAGGCTATGTTATCTTCCGTTAAACTAACATTTCCAGCAACCAGGGCTGCCAAAGCAGTGCTGCAAAACGCACCGCCTGTGACCATATGTTTCAAACAACACACGCGGCCGGCTTTTGTTTTGGATTTCGTTTCGATTTGGCGTTAAACTGATAAAATGGACAGCAGCAACGCAATTGTAATGCCTGGAGAGCGCATCACGATCATAGAAGAGGTGGCGAAGGAGAAGCGTGTTATATTGGGACCAGGACTGCGGCGATTGGACGATACGGTGGTGGCCAGCAAAGCGGGTCCTCTGCGCCACAAGGAGCCTGGAACCTACTGGATTGACAACTACCAGAGACGCTATGTGCCCGCTCGCGGAGATCTGGTTCTGGGCATCATCAAGGGGAAGGCTGGGGACCAGTATCGCGTGGACATTGGCTCGGCGGACATTGCATCCATTTCGTATCTGGCCTTCGAGGCGGCTACCAAGAAGAACCGGCCCGACCTCAATCCGGGAGATATCATCTACGCCCGTGTGCTCAACGCCAGTGCGGACATCGAGCCGGAGCTGGTGTGCGTCAACTCGAATGGAAAGCGCGGCAAACTTGGTCTGCTGGCCGATGGCTTCTTCTTCAAATGCACCCTCAACTTGGGACGCCTGCTGCTCCGGGAGAACTGTCCCGCATTGGCCGCCCTTACCCGTGAACTGCCCTACGAGATCGCCATCGGCGTCAACGGACGGATCTGGGTGAAGGCTAATTCCCTGCGCGAGACAATGGCTCTGTCGAATGCCATCCTGACGATGGAGCAGGCCGGCTACACGGAGATCGACAAAATCTGCGACAGTCTGGGCGATGTGCTGCAGGCCTAGTCCGTACAAATAAAATTAGTTTACTTACATTTCCACAAAAGCAATTTTTTCAATATTTCTGATGGAACTGCTTACATGCTACTTTTATGTGAAAGCCTCTTCTGTTTGCTGTCGGAGATGAGCAGGTGTGTGTGTTCCTGGTCCATGGTCCACCCCATTGGAACTCATTTAACATACCAACGGGAAAACAATGTAAATATCAAATAATTATAAGAAATCACATAATTAACACCCCAAGTCACTGAATCATCTCTGCCAACCCACACCGGAGCAATCTTCCTCATCGCATAGGCATGTTAACCAAAAGATATGGATGTGTGCGTGGGAAACAGCTGATCTGGCTTATCTGTGCGGCGGCGACCCATAAGAGTCGGAACTTTTGCTTGGCAGTTGATTCTCTTACGGCTTACGGCAAAGTGCAAAGGTAGCAAACAAGGCCGCAGCCCACCGCACCGCACCGTAATGAGCTTCCTAGAGTTCCTGCTGCTACTGTTGGTAGCGTACTATGTGATCTATGTGCTGCTGTGGATCGTGCTAGACTGCAATGTGGCCCTGTGGTTCAAATCAAAGTTCGGCGTCTCGCTGTCGTCGATGCGCGGACAGGTGGTTTGGATAACGGGCGCCTCGAGCGGCATTGGACGCTCTTTGGCACTGAGCCTGGCCCGCCATGGTGTTCGACTGGTGTTGAGTGCCCGGCGGGTGGAGCAACTAGAGGTGGTCCAGGAGGAGTGCTTGGCAGCGGCTCGTGGCCTACTGGCCACCAAGGATGTGCTGATTCTACCCATGGATATGCTGCAGCTGCAGCGGCATGAGTCCAACCTATTCACGGTTCTCAATCACTTCGATCGCCTGGATGTGCTGGTGAACAATGCGGGAAGATCGCAGCGTGCCAGCTGGACGGACATCGAGATCGAGGTGGATCGGGAGCTGTTCGAGCTGGATGTCTTTTCCGTGGTCCATCTGACGCGACTCGTCGTGCGCTACTTCATCGAGCAGAACGGTGGTCGTGGTCATGTGGCCGCCACTTCCAGCATCGCCGGCTTCGGTCCTGTGCCATTCTCGGCTACCTATTGTGCGGCCAAGCATGCCCTGAACGCCTATCTGCTGTCCCTGAAGCTGGAGATGCGTAAGTTGGATGTGACCATCTTCGCCCCGGGGCCCATTGCCACGGACTTCCTGCAGGAGGCCTTCACCGGAGAGCAGGGCGCCAAGTACGGACAAAGTACGGCAAATCAGAAGCGGATGACAGCGGATCGCTGCGGCGAACTCTTTGCCGTCGCACTGGCCAACAAGATGGATCTCACCTGGTGTGGCCTCTTCCCCGTCAATCTACTGGCCTACTGTGCCCGCAATCCGACACTGACCAAGATCCTCGGCCAGTTCATGACCGAACAGACGCTCAACAAAATTCGCGAGGGTAAATTGTGAGATGCGGCGTTGCCCGTCTCGGTGCTCCCACAACTTTTATACATGTACAACATTTAACTATACAAATATATGAATATGTATACAAGATAAAGTGAATTGCGTTTGTTTACTTTCCTGGTAATCTGGTTGAGACTACACTCGATTTCAAGTAGAATCACTTGATGGTGTTGCTATATACATTCTAATAGTTGCGAAACGCACTATAATCAAGATTTCTTCAGATATTATCTTGCTTAAATCACATAACCAACTATTTTAAGGCCTAATCTTTCCCAAGAGCTGCCTTGACATGAGCCGGGATCTTGACACGTTTCCGCTTTGCTTTTGTCAGTGCTGTTTGTTCTACTCCTTGTAGCGGCGACTTAGCCTTTTCTTTTTTGCTTTTTTTACAGGACAGAGGATTGGGATTCTTGGGTCCTTTGCGTTTTGTTGAACTGCTGGTGGCCTCTACTGGCTTAAGGCCCTGCTTTTCTTTCATGTAGTCAATCTTTGCGGCATGCTTGCCCAGCATGAGGTCCTTGGCCTGCTTTAGCACCCACTTTTTTGATGCTTTCGAGGGGGCCTCCAGCACGGGAGTGGCTTTGTGCAGATAGAGCAGGCACCGTCCGGGAATCTTGCGCAGACTCTCCTGAAGCAGGCGGTCCTGGGAGGCGATAATATAGCGATTGTCTTTGGTCTGTTTGGAAGTGTGGCATTAGTTATTAATTCCTGGATTCCTGTCAATCTCACCATTGATTTGATGCAATCAGCGGCAGGAACAGGCTTGCCCTCGTGTCCGCATTTGTGCACATGGAACTTCTTGACAAGCGTTGTGGCTCCTGTCAGAGGTGCGCCCAAAGCCTCCGCCTCGAGAATCACACACTGGGTGGTCAGCAGTTTGGCACTACATTGGAAATACTTCCTAATCTGCTCGTCAATACCAATTTTGTGCTGCAATTTAAAATGCATCAATATTCAACAAGTTCCGTTTTCACTTCTATGGAAACTCACCAGCAGCGCTGCCTGGCAGAAGGTGGCGTCAACCAGGACCTGGTAGGGCTCCCGATAGTCGAAGTTTGTTGCAAAAAACACCAAAGTTTTGTGGGATTTCTTAAATCTTGATATTTTCATTGTTTATAAATTTAATAAAAATTGGCGTGCTACTTAGCCCACTTAAGCCCCCTATATTTAAATAGTTCAACTACTTCAGGTAAATGGCTGAAAATATTACTGATTGTAAATTCTTCTTGTAGATCCATCCTATCCGACCTCTTTACTTGCAAAAAATCCCACTATATCTTTCAACTGAACTGTGCAAAAATTCTTCAAGTTTAGATATTTTCGAGGACATATTTGAATACCCCTTGGCTTACAATGGGTTAATCGTTCTCCGTCGAGCATTGGAATCCATATTGCGCCATTTTGATGGTCCGTTGAATATTACCAGGTAAATAAGTCTCGCAGCTTTGCCCACATAGTTTTAACCGATCAATTCATCAATTTTCTGCAAGATGAGGTAATTTGAATGACTCATCTTAACTGAATAGTTTATAAAATAAGGTTTAAACAAAAAGGGCAAATGCTCATTCCCGAGAGCTGGCTTGCAATACTATCGCCATCTGGTGTACCATGGCAAATTTTTCGATACTAATACAGAATTTAAATATGTTACCACCAACTGTTGGCGCGCTGTGACCAGAATGCAATGCATTTTCAACCCCCTTTTTGCACTTTCACCCCTCATTCGGTGCGGCTATTACGCGTTTTGTTTTCGTTTCCTTTTTCCCATATAGTAGTTTATATTTTATTTGTGCTGCAGTTGCGGGCACAACAAGTAGTGGGAAGACAAGCCACCGCATTTGTAGATGCATATTTTTTATATACTGTGTAAGTTTAAGTTTATTTTTAACAGAAAGAGCTTAAATGTAAATGTGAAACAATAATTAATTAGTGAGAAACGCTCAATGTTTCAATGATTGTGCGCTCAAAGAATAGTCTTGAATGGCTAGTGCAATTCAATTATTGTAAGTGCTATGTAAGTGCCTTTGCCTTTGTGAACCCTGCCGTGCGTATATGGATTATTCATATGAATATAAAATGTCCATATAGCAGTGTATCCCACAATCTCACTTGCGTGGACATCAACAGTTGGTGTGTTTTGGTCAGCTTTTGGCAGACACGTCCGACTTCTACAGGGTCGGATATGGATAATTCATATGAGTATATGCACCACAAGCTCTCTGGATCGGACATACTCAGTTTCAGCAAACGTCTGGCCTTTTTGGAGATGGTTTATTCATTCATACCAAATCAAATGTCTACGTACGAGTACATAGTGCAATATATACAGTGCAAGTTCTCTTCAACGGAATATCAATTTTGTCTAGGGCAGCGTATATACAGCACAACTTCTCTTAAAACATGACAACCATTGTTCCTTTGTTTTGGTTCAGCCCTAGGCAGACTTTTGTCCATTAGGGTTGGTTTAAGGATAGATTTGAAAGGGTTTGAACTATCTTCCTGGAGAGCATTGTCTGTAAATTTGATAGAGTTGTTTCTTTGGTTTCTTCTTTTCGCTGTTTTTTTATAACATCCTAAATGCATTTTAAGGAAGTGTCTAATTGCACCACCACCATCGCAATAGTTCTTCTCCATCTCTCTATTTCTGTACATTCTATCTCTTTTTCTATAAGCATTTATCTGTCTTTTTCTTTAATCTACTCAATTGTCATTCAATTGATGGGGAACCGTTTTTGCAGCCATAAGTTTTCTGCTTATCATTCTCATTGGAGGGGGATTTATAATAAAAACTCACTGGTTTTTTCCTATGATAAGCTATATCGGTCAAGTTTGAGCATAATGTCATATAAAAGCCGATAAAGACGCATATGCATCCATGCAGCAGCTGCTTGATCTATTATTTTTTGTTCTGTTCCTTCATTTTTGCCGCCGCTTCGACTTAATCTGCGAAGGTTGAGTGCCATTGACAGCTGTCTCATGGAGGTAGAGTGCAATCACCTCAACTCTCTGTAGGATCATCATTTCATCATCATCGATTTCCACCACTTTACAGTTTATTCTTACAGTTTGTTCAACTCGATTCCATGAAGAGCAGCAGTCTTATAGGAACTGAAACAATGAAATGACCAAAAGAATATTGATATTCATATGCAACAATCCATTGTGAGCGGATCTGAGCGCGTCTTGTCTTTCTTTCAGAACACACCTTTCGATATACAATATACGAGAACATGGCATCGTAAAATATGGACTTGGCTCGCGTGTCTCGAATTCTAATTACTCCTCCTTTCTGTTCTGTTCTGCTCTTTCGCGGGTTTCCGGTGGCTTTCTGGACGTCGCTCTGTTGTTGGCTTATGTCTGTTATGGTGGGTGGAAAGAAAGTGACGCATGGGTTTTGGCTAGAGATGAAACTTTGGTTGAGGGAGGTAACGCTACTATGGGAAGGAAAAACCAGAAATAGTAGTAGTAACTAATGGTTAATTCAATGTTCTTTTGGGGGAGCATAAAATGGTTGTTGAATGTGCATGAATCACTTGATGATTAACAGGAACTTATAGTTTTGCGTCCCCACAAATAGCTTACATTTATAGTGAATGTAATAATATGTTATACTGGAAATGAATAATTGAATACTATAATTCAAAATAGAAATCTATAATCGAAAAACTGCATAAAACCCATAATTTTAAAGATCCGAGAATACGATGAATGACTACAGTGTAAGATCTGGATAGTTTTGTGATTGCTATAGCTTTCAGAATCTTTCAAATTTCGTTTGAGATTGTGTGTGTTGAAGCCCTGCTGTCTTTTTCCAAATTTTTGGTTTGGAATTATTAGAAAATTCCATGAAGTTTTCTCTTTACTTTAATTTTTCCTATGGGTATAATTATACCCTTACATGAAAATCGGGCTCCGATTTGATTTCTCTTTTCGTTGTATAACTTCTGCCTGCAACAGAAAAGGAAGGTAATTTTGAGTTTTCATTGCTCATTTGCAATAGTTTCACTTAGAGGGCTACTTAAGTGCGGCATTAGTTTTGGTTCGCTTAATTTCTATCCCATCCCAATAAATCCCATCGCTAAAGCGTGGACTATATTCCGTCTCTGGAACCAAATTGATTCATTCAGTTCTGGTCCGGTTCGCTCTCGTCTGTCTACGCCACCATCGTCATGTACGCCCGTCGTAGAATCTCCTAGCCGAGATCTGATACGATCATTAAACGATTGATCGCTCTATCATACGATAGGGAGATGGCAGCAGACCAAAATGCTAAGTAGAGAGGTAGCATGAGGCCGGCTTCACTTCACTTCATTTATTCATTCATTGGATTCATTCATATTTATCTAACGTCACGCCAAATGGGCTTGCCCCCGAGCACGTTCCCGCTCTCCCACCTCTCTGTGGCCTGCAGTGGTGTGCATGCCAATCAGGCTCAGTGTCTTTCCAAGACAGTCCCAGTCCCAGAACCCAGGGCCCAGACTCTTCCTATGGTACCTTTCCACCCCCTGTCAGACTTAATTAGTTCCCAAATGGAGGGGATTCCGAGTTGAGTCCGAGTGCTGTGGATATTGGTACGTAAGCCGATTTGGTTTTGGATATATATGTATATAGTATATTTGTAAAGTATATATTTATATCTCATTAGCGAAACATTTGGCGTCCAAAGTGGACTTTTAATAATGCGATTTTATTTTCTTGCGATTTCTGGCCCGGCATAAAGAAAGACTTCTTATTTTCCTATTGCTTATTGCTGGACGATGATTCTTCCCTTTTTTTCGGTTCATTTTTTTTATAAATTTGTTTATTTATTGTACTCTATAGTATTTTGCTATGCTATCATCTTGAACATTTTTGTTTTGGAATAAATCTCTCTGGCGTAAAAGTGTCGCCCTGGAAAAATAAATGATCTTGAACCCAGATGTTGACCCTTTGTTTAGCACAGTTTTGCACTGAATCGTGGGGTAAGTTTTCATATTTTATTTGGGTTCGTTTCCCGTCGAACACGCTCTATCCTCATGTGCTGTCCCCGGATTGCTATCAAGGTTTTTATACTATATTTTTGGAATCTATAGTATTTAAAATAAGTTCTAT